CCTAATGTGGGAAACAGAGAGATTTCTCCCACATCATATATCCTGACCCTGAGAACCATTTCTCCCAGGATGAGGATGACCCTAATGTGGGAAACGGAAAGATTTCTCCCACATCGTCTCCCCCAAATATGTTAGACTTAGAGGACACTGCTTGCAGCCAATGGTAAAAGTTACTTCCCTTGAGGCAATCAGCTGCCAGACAGCTGCGGGCCTGCTCCCTGCTGCAGGGGACAATGGGCTACTTCTCCCTGAGGCTTGCGACCATTAGCTTGGTTCCTGTAGGTGGGGTTTACACCCTACTGAGAATGGTTCCTCTGGAGGTCCAGAGAACAGGTCAAACCCTCTCGGTGACATCAAGTGAGGCTGCCCTCCTGAATCTAGGATCCACCCACCTTGTCACATGGATAACCCCAATCCCTTCTCTTCCTATTGCGTGTACACCCCTAGATTGTCCCCCTCTCATTGCTCTATAACCTATAGTGCAACCCCTTCCTGTGATGTATGTCTTTACCTGTAATCAGTGGGCTTGCACACTCTCTCCGGAGATATATAGGCCGGGGTTAATAAAGAGCTCGCTCTCTCGGCTCCTCCCTTGACCTCTCCTTGGCTTCCTCTCCTCCCCTGTTCCCTTTCCCCTTGTCCTCCTTCCCTTCCCCCTCTCTCCACATGGACCACCAAGCGGGGCTGAGGTGAGCATGCTACCATGAAATGTGTCTGACTCCATTATTTCAATCTCTCTTCTATCTCATGCTCTCAGTGACTTTAATATAATAGTTATATGTCTCAACTGTACAACTGTGCCTATCGAACCCGTGGTTGGTGGGGGAGGGCTGGCATCCCCCCCTTCCGACCATACCCTAAGGCAGCGGTTCTCAACCTATGGGTTGCAACCCCTTTGGGGGTCGAACAACCCTTTCACAGGGGTCGCCTGATTCATCACAGTAGCAAAATGACAGTGATGAAGTAGCAACGAAAATAATTTTATGGTTGGGGGGTCACCCCCACAGGAGGAACTGTCGGCATTAGGAAAGTTGAGAACCACAGCCCTAAGGGAAGGACTCCCCCAAATGGTGGCTCTCAACATCAAAGCTCTGTTGCTGGGACATCTTAGGAGTCCCTGCAGACAGGGGCTCCGAGACCTTCAGATGGAGAAACTGGGGAGGGAGGCTCTTCACAGGAGAAACCTTCCCATATGCGTTACCCCAAAGACCGAGGTCTCTCCAGGTAGGATCCTCCTAATGGGGTCTCTGGGACAGAAGCGCCCACCTATGGTGGCCAAGACTCACCCACGCAGTTAGGGTGTTCACTGCTCCAGGCTGGCCGGGTGCCATTGAGGCAGACAAGGGTCTCCTCGCCCTGTAGCTGGTAGCCCGAGTCACAGTGGAAGGTGGCAGTGCCTCCAGGGTGCAGGTCTGTCACACTCACGTCCCCATGGGCTGGCCGGGGAGGGAAGCCACAGCTCAGGAGGTAGGCTGCACCGGGTGAAGCAGAGAGCAGGACTTATTTTTCCATGTCACCCCTTCTCACCAATTGCCCCGGGGCTGGCTTGTTCCCCACCTTCCGGTGTCCGGGGGCCCAAGCCAGCTCCGTACCAGAGTCCACGCTGAAGAGCCCCTCCCAGACGCTTCTCACAACGAGGTCATTACAACCTTCCCTTCTCGATCCTACCCTTTCTCAGCTACCCGCTGGGCTCCGCATTTTCCAGCTGAGGAGGCCGGCGCTCAGAAAAGCGGGTCTGGATCTTGGCACTCATGCGCCTTGTGACCACGCACTGGCAAGAGAGGAGATGTGCAGCGCTTGCTCAGCCTCCAGAGTGGGGCCACTCGGCGTTTGGGAGGGAGGCCAAGAGAGCCTCGCTGACCCATTTTCCAGATGTGGAAACCATGAGAAAATCAGGGTCCCCTAACAGTTTTCTTCTCTCCACGGAAGTGCACCTGGTGGCATGGGGTTAATGAGTGGGGCTGCGACCTGCAAAGTCAGCAGTTCGAAACCACCAGCCGCTCCTCACGGGGAAAGGAAGACGGGCTTTCTACTCTTGGGAAGAGCGACAGTCTTGAAACCTCACAGGAGCAGTTCTACCCTGCCCTAGAGGGTCTCTATGAGTCAGCACCCACTCAGTGGCATTGAGATTTTTGTATTTTATCTGAGATGCACCCAGGTAATCTCATCCAGGGAAGCCGTGTGAAACTCGGCTTGGACTATCTTGTTTTGAAAGAGCTGTCTCACTGCCCTATGGCAGGGCGTTCGGAGGAAAGTCGTGCTCCACTCAGGAACCGGACTGCCCTCTTAGGTGCTGCACCGGGCGCCTTCTTTCTGCCCCAGAGGCGCAGCACCAGATGGGGCTCCTCCCCCGGGGCGGTGGTCTGTCCCACTCTGTACGGCTGGATTTCTTGTGTTCTTTCTGGAAGCCCCCTAATATCCTTGTGGGACCAGATGGAGAAAAAACAAATGAAGGACTCTGATCCTCATCCTGAAAGAGTTTGGGGTGTCAATGTTTCAGAGCCAAGCCGAGCTCAGCACAAAGGCTTTCTGGAGAAAGCACGTCAAAACCAGAACTTGAAGGGCAGGCTGGCCTGGCTGACAGGGGGTACCAGCGGGCCTAGGCCATGGCGTCCTCAGACTCTTCAGCTCTCTCAAAGACCTGGCCCATCTGGATTTTACAATCCAGCAAGCATTTCCTGGGTGGGCTCGAACCAAAGCCAGCTCTTGACCTTGAAGAGCCCAGAGTTTACTAGGATCTCGCTGCCATCGAGTCATTTCTGACTCACAGGGAGCCTCTAGGATGGACAAGAACTGCCCCTATACATTTCCGAGACTACAACTCTTGAAAGAAGTGGAAAAGCCTCATCCCTCTCTTGCAGAGCGGCTGGTGGTTGTGAACTGCCAACCTTGTGTTTCGGCAGCCCAACACGTTACTCACTACGCTACCAGGACTCCAAGGACCAAGATGGACAACAAAACCCAGCTCTCCAGCACGCAGTGATGTGCACACTGTAGCCTGTGCCATGACCGGTGGTGACCCACCGAGTCAAGTCCAAACGCCTTATAAGGACCTTCAAGGCCCTCCACGGCTGAGTCCAACCCAGCGCCTCCGCCTTTGGTCTGGCCACTCCTGACCCGTGTTTCCTCCACAGTTGGAAGTGCCATCCGAATTTTGCTCACAGCACTGCCCCTACTGGAAGGACTCCCTCCTCCTCCTCTTTTCTCAACTTCCAGCAAGTCACGGGCTGACGGCGGCTTCCGAGAAGCCTTCCTGACACCTCCCATTCCTAGCTGAGATGTTGCTCCCTTGCCGGCGTCTAATCATCACATTGACCAACATCTAGTGCCCTCCCCCTCCCCCCTCCAAGAGACTGAACCAGGCCATGCTGCACACTTTACTGGACTTCTGAAAAGCTAGCTGGCTCGCAACTGACCTCAGAAGCAGCTGGGTGGGGGGGTGCTCAGCGTGGAGACAAGCGGATCTGAGTTCTCGTCCCAGCTCCACACCCTGTTAGCCGGGTGGCTTTGCCTCTAGAGACCTCCCACCTGTTGATGGCCACAGTGGTTCCTCCCACGGAGGATCCGCCTGGAAGTGACATGAACTTGGAACCACCAACAAAACGCGGCGCACACAGGGCCCGGAGCAGGTGCTCAGGAAACACGAACCGCCTATTCCTCAGCCTCGGTCAATGGCTGAGTGCGGCGGAGCAGTGGGGCGGGGGTGGGTGGGAGGGAGTCCTGGGGTCACTTAACCTTGGAGTCTCTTTCCCCCTTTGGGAGAGGGGGCTGCCTCGGCCATCCCCTCGGGTCCCTTCCTGTGAGGAGCAAATGGATTCGTGGCTGGTGAAAAACCAAAATCAAGTCGACTCATGGTGACCCTATAGGGCAGGGTAGGACCGCCCCTGTGAGTTTCCCTGACTGTAACCAACTCTTCATGAGAACAGGAAGCCCAGACGTGGCTGGTGGTTTTGAACTGCTGACCTTGCAGTTGGCAGCCCAACAAGACCCCACAACGCCACCAGGGCTCCTCACTGTTGGTGAAAGAGCTCAGGATAAGTGGGAAGGTTTGCTGGACTTGTGGTGAGCGCTGGAGGGCTCCTTTGGCTGTTCAGAAGGGTAAGGAAGCCAGGTTGGAAAGGGCTTAAATGGGGTCTTGGTCCCATGGGTGCCTGGGGTGGCTGCTGAGCAGGGCAGCCTGAGGCAGGCAGAGGAGGCCCATCTTTGCAGCAGCCCTGCTCCCCACTGTCCCACTTAGCCTCGGAGTCCTACTTTAAATGCCCTGGGGAGGTTGGCTGCTTAAAGCAGACCTGGAAGAGCCGTGCTGTCAGACCTAAAGTCCAGCACTTGGTCATGGGCCAATCTGTGCTCCCCACCGCCCAGGCCCACTGCCACCAAGCCCAGGGGCCTGGCTCACTGGTTCCTTGACCATAAAGCCGAGTGGGGGATCTCCCCACCTGGGGCAGCTGTCCCTGGGGGCAGCTCTGCGTCTCTGGAGGAGCAGGAGAGACGTGAGGAAGACACACACATGGTGATCGGTTAACGTCCACAGGGGATTTGGGCTCCTGGGGGCAGGGGACACAGGGCCAGGCAGGCTAGGAGGAGACACGGGCACTAGCCAACACACAAGTCCTACTCCGATTCTGCGCACAGGAAGAAAAGACCTTGGAGAATGGGGACGGTGGGCTGGGCCCCTTGCCTCGTGGTGCACACGCGTATGCGAGAACGCACACTGGCACGGGGGCAGGTTCTGGTGCACCCCGGTGGGTATGAATGTACCTGGGTGTGTAGGTCGCCTGGGGGCGGGTGCCCATGAATGCAGTCATGCACAAATATAGCCTGCCCTCCCCACAGCTGCCAGAAATGTCTTCCTCTGAAGGCTTAAACCATTTCAAAATGCCTCCCCCTCACCTGCCTGATAAAGTCGTCTGAACTCCTGACTGATGATGATGATGATGATGATGATGATCAAGTCCCTGGGGATCTGAATGCAACCTGCTTCCAAGTCAGGTCTCCACCTCCATCCTGCCCGCCCCCCCACCCTCTGGGCGTAATCACTACAAGCAGTAACCACCAGGCTTCAAATTCTTGCGTCTACCAGACATGGCTTTAAGCCCTTGACCTGCATGGACTCATTTCTGCTAACAACACCCTGGGGGTTGTATGACCACCACTTTTCAGAGGAGCCTGCAAGGCCCCGTGAGGTAGAGGTGGGGAACAAACGTGGCCCAGGTCACACACACCAGCGCAGGTCTGTCTTTCAGGCTGAATTAATTCCTTCAGCAACTCAAGGTTGCCCCTCCTCTCTAGGAATTGGAATGAGCCTTTTCGTCTGTCTGGACACTTGCCTCTCTCCTTCCCCCCTTCCTTCCTTCCCTTCCCCTGACTTCCTCGTCCTTTAGAGCACAACCTAGACGCACCGCTTCCTCCCAGAAAGCGTCCCGTGGGCGTCTGTTATCGGTTCCTTGCGCCTGCCTCTCCTCCACCATAGCCCTTCCCTCCCAGAACCATGATCCCCCGGTGACCGGTCTGTCTCTCCCCTGGATTGAATACCCTGACCTCGGATTTCTCTCTGGCTGTTCATTCCTCTCACAAGGCTATGACCTGGTCCGAAGCGGACACTCAATAAATCTTTGCCGACTGAAGAGATGAACTGCCACTTAGATGTGTGCGTCCGCAGACATAAAATCACACAGCGTGGATGGCACCCTGACAAGGGTCCGCTCCCTGCGCTCGGAGGGACCCCAGAGCTGTCTCCTGTGCCCAGCGTGGCCTCCGCCCTTGCCCTTCCACCAGGACCCTCACCCTGATAGTGGATCCTGAAGCCACCGCTTCGGGGGGCCCTCGGGCTCTGGAAGTGTAGGAGCAGCCGGTTGGTTGGGCTCCGGAGGACCTGTCCTTCTCCCATCATGGAGGAGTTGGCCAGGAGTCTGGGGGCAAGGCCTGGGGACCCCCCGCCGGCCAGCACCAGCAGTTCCTCTTCCCGAGACAGGTTCAGCATCTGCACCTAGAGAAGGCAGCGCAAGTCGGTCAGGTGGAGGGGGTGACTCCTTAAGGCCCCCTGCCTCCCGTCCCCCTCCCAGTGGCCCCAAGACCATGATGATATGAGTCATGTTGTCAACCTCAAGGAGAGTCTTGGAGATCGGATGAGTCAGAACTCAGGCCCAGAAAGGGCTGCTGTCACACGGCCCAGCTCCCTCACCCAGACAAAGCCTGTGCATGCTCTCCGGCCCAGAGTGTAGGCGCTCAGGGTCAGTTACCTGGATCTCAATGCCGTAGCCAGGGTAGACGTGGATGCTGTAGGTACAGTCTAGGAGCCCCGAGGCGCGGCTGGCAGTACTCCCCAAATCTGGAGACTCCACGTACCCCTCTCCCTCAGAGATGTTGTTGTTACACAGAACTAAGGAGATATAAATGCCAATGTTGAGAGAAGCCCTATGGTCTTGTCTTCCCAGGCAGGCAACTCTGGGGGTCCCCAACCGCCATTACTACCCAGCGCCCCCCCCCCCAGCTTTAATCTAGATGAAACTTGGGGAAAGGGGTCAGTCACATGGTAGCCAAATCCAACCTGCAACCTGTGACTACTTGATTCTGATTCGTGACAACCCATGAATTGCAGAGCAGAACGGGTCCAGGGCGGTTTCTGGGCTGTCATCTTTACAGAAGCAGATCACCAGGCCTTTCCTCTATGGCACCCCTGGGTGGGATCCACCCACCCACCCGCCCTTAGGTTCTCAGTTGAGCACAAACCATTTGGGTCACCCCGGATCTTGGCACGTGGTGCTTGTTCCTGTTGTCTGCCATGGTGCAGATTCTAATTCCTAGCAAGCCTGCTCGGCAGGGCTCTGCTACTCCCACAGGAGTCCCCAGGCTGTGATGGCATCGTGGTTGCATATTGGGCTGCTAACCGCGAGGTCATCAGTTCGAAACCGCCAGCCATGCACCGGGAGAAAGATGGGGCTTTCTACTCCCATAAAGAGTTCCAGTCTCGGAAACCCACAGCAGGTGGTCAGCATGGACTCCATGGCAGTGTGTGGGGTGGTTTGGATTTTGAATCTCAGTGGAGGAGATTCTCCCGCAGGGCGGCGGTGGGTTCTAACCGCTGGGTTAGCAGCCCTGTGCTTGAAGACTGCCTCCCCGGGACTTTACCGCACGGCGTAATCAAAACCAAACCTTCTGTCTTGGAATGGAAACTGCCTCACAGTGACCCAGTGGGCCAGAGGAGAGCTGTCTGAGAAGGTCTCCCAGGCTGTAGTTTTTATAGAAGCTGACTGCCTTCTCTTTCTCTCAAGGAGCGGTGGGTGAGTTCGAACCATTGACCTTTCAGTGAGCAGCCAAGTGCTTAACTGCTGCCCCCACCCCTCCCCAGACTCCTTTGGCACATAGTAAGGGTTAGCCTTTATTATTATCACGCAGAGGTCTCTCTCCCACCTGCACCTGGCATCCCTCCTTCCACCTGGCTCCAGAAACCCAATCTACCATCTAGACCCCCAGCCCTCCTTTCCTACACAGATGCTCCTCCCACCTGCTTTAACTGCCTCACCTGGGCTGGTAACGGTGGTGGTGACAGTGGTGGTGGTGATGATCGTGGTGGTGGTCTCCTCTTCTCCCCCCTCTGGCCCGGCCGGCGGGCCTGGGGAGGCAGTGCCAGGTAAGGGGGGTGGCGTGGTTCCTGGCGGTGGGGTCAGCAGCTCTGGTGCTGTGGGGCCTGCCCCTCTGGTCCCCTTTGGGGTCACAGCTGTTGTCAGAGGTCCTGTCCCTGGCTCAGTGGCCCGAGGGAGGGAGGGTGCAGCAAGAGTCTGTCCAGCAGGAGGGGTAGCTAGTGTGGGGTCTGGGTCAGATCCTAGGAGAGTGCAAAGAAAGTCAGGGCAGCTGGGTGCAAAGGGGAAGCCCTGTTGAGGGTCAAGGCTGGGTAGCCCCCACTGGACACAAAAGGCCAGACCACACGGTGGAGGCTCCCCATCCTCCAGCTTTCTACCCCAGTTCCCTCCTCCCCAGGCTTCCTGCTTCACCCCACCCCCTCTCTGCCTCCCAGCTCTCTACCCAGGCCTTGACTCCTCTGTCTCTTTGAGCTTCTCTCTTGACTCAGCCTGGTGCTCACTCTCTGGGTTCTCCCTCTCTTCTAGTGGGGGGACCTCCCTTGAGCCCTTCCTGGGACACTCCACTTCTCATTAGAGTAGAGACTCTCCATTTCTCTCTCTCCCTGACCTGGAACTCTACCCATCTCTGGGTTTGTCTCTCTCTCCCACCCTCACATCCCAGAATCTGTGTGATTCCGAGTTTCTGTCTGTCTTTCTGGGTGTCCGCTCACCATCGCCCTCTCTTTCCAGCCGTCTCTGTCCCCCTGCACAGCCAAGGCCTTTCTGGGGCTCTCACCCCACACTCTGCAGTCACTCCCTCCTAGCCCAGCCCCCAGCTCCTGGAAGCTTTACCCAGGTCAGCCTCCCTCCCTCCCTCTCTCTCTGCCCCTGGGGAGCCTCACCCGGTAGGTAGCCCATCTCTGGCCCCTTTCTCAGCAGGGCTCCGTGGATCAGCTCTGCCAGCACCTCAGTGGCCACGGTGGGGGTCTCGCTTCCGGACTCCGGCTGTAATTCTTCTTCTGTCAGGGGAAGACCTGGAGGGGAAGTCTTGTGAGCCCCACACCCCTCTCTTCTTTAGGGACCTCATTCCAAAGCTCCTTCTTCTGTAGTCAGTCAGCTGGACTTGCAGGGGCCCACAGGGGCCCACCAAGGGCTGAGAGCCAAGGTTGGGGGAGGGGATCCCAGCCGCCTCTCCCACTCCAGCCCCCCCCCCCCCTTTCCCTCAGGATGCTGGGCCTTCAGGGAAGTACACTGCTCCTGTGGATCTTGGGCAGCCCAATGGGGACAGAGAGGGGTCATCAGTCAGTGCCGCCTTCATTGTCACCTCAATGGCGCTCTGGGCTCTGCGACGGGACTGGCAGCACCTCCTGGCCCTTGCTTTCACAACCTCCCAGCTTTCTCTGGGTTTCAGTGTGGTCTCTCTCTCTCTCTCTCTCATTAGCCGCAGTTTCTGTCTTTCCCTGAAGTCTGACTGGGGGTCAGAGTGGGTGGGGGGACAGAAGATCCGATCCCTGAGTGCTGTCTCTGTCCACCTGTCTTTGTCCGTGTGTCCGAGAACATCCATGTATGCAGCGCCTGACGTCTCTCCCAGCACCTCCATCTCCGGCCCAGGTATCCTGGGTGTTCCTGCCGCCTCAGCAGCCATCCCCACCCCCAGATCCCCAGCCCTCCTTCCTGGGTTTAACCCCTAAGATGCAGCTACAAGCATGCCCTCATTCATTTCTCCATACACACACCCCCGCCAGGTAGAGGCTTAGGGGCTCTGGGAACAAGCGGACAGCCAAGGCTGGTCCCTGCCTGTTCTCCCCTCCCCCACGGGCTTGCCAGACCCAGATGGTGGGGTGTGCTTGGAGAAAAGAGGGAGGAGGACACCCCCTGGGAGCCCCCCCCGCCCCCCATCCTCTCGTTCTTACCCTGGATCCAGGGACAGCTCAGCAGAATGAGGAACAGCAGCCGGGGAGGCAGCGGCGGGTGCTGGGCCCTGGGGGTCCCCATGGCGACTCAGCCGATCTCTCTGTTTGACGCCTCTCCTAAATAATCCAGTTGCCACCTTGCCTCCGGCTTCTCTTTTTCCCTCAATAGATTTTTTTTCCTCCTGATACGGTTCAGCAAAGAAAGCCAATTTCTGTGCCCCAGGGATGAAAGGATGGAACTGGGCTGGGGGGCGCTTGGAGGCCCCCCTTTGCCCAATCTCTTCAGTCTTCTGCTCCCAGGTCCGTAGTCGAGGGGGGCGCGGCCACGACTGCAAGGGGTGGGGCCAAGAGGCCCGAAAAGGCCGGGTCACCCGGTTACCCTCTTGCTCAGGCTCCTGGGCTGAAACCCCTAGCTGGGGATACGGGGAGGGGCGGAGCGGTTTCTGGAGGCTTGGAAATCGGGAGGGTCTCCACTGGGCTCTAGAGGACTTGGCGGGGAGGGGGTGGTGGTGGAACCCGGAGAGAGTGAATCTGGGGCTGCGGGAGAGAAAAACCAAAAGGTGTCAAGCTCACGTCAGATCCTGGGGACGGGCGAGGGGAGGGGCCTAGGATTTATTTTGGGAGGGGAGGAGGAAGTGCAGAGGGAAGAAGGAGGGGCTATTGGAGAGAGGACCCTCGTCACCCTCACTCGGTCAAGGAAACCCTCCGGTCCCAGCAGTAATCCCGGGCCCCACGGCCCCTCCTGCCCCCGCCCCCACCCTGTTCCAACACGTCTGGCATCCGAGTCTCCGCCTCCCACCAAGCCTGCCGGGCACAGCTCAGCTCGCTCCTGCTCGGCCCCCCAGTATGCCCCTTGCCCACATCCGGGCCCCTCCTGAGACGTCTTCCTTTTTATTGAAGCTCATATGGAAAGGGTGTCCCCTTCCCCGCAGGACAATGGCGAATTTCCACGGCTCGTGTGACGGGACACGGCCTGGGCAGGGGATAGCCCTCCCCGTGCGTAAAATACACCCCGCGGCCAGCGAACTGCCCTCGCTGCGCCAGCGCTGCGCCTCTCCGGGCCCGCGCGCCCGCGGAGCGCGCC